AGACAGTCAGCCTTTTCCTATCAAGACGGTGGGTCCAGTATGGACCATGCACCCACTGAGAGGCCGGGCTCTGGAGGGCCTGTCATTGTCGATTGGCGGAAGACTGCAGCTTCTGGTACAACGCCACCGAAGAGGGCCAGACCATGGTCCTCCTCGGCTGCTGAACCTCAGTGGCACAGCAATCATGCTAAGGGTCATCATAATCATCATCAAGGTCCTTGGGGAGATGACTGGCAGGAACAACAGCAGCAGCAGCACTCGGGCTGGCAAGAGGGAGCAGGAGAAGAATGGCAGGGTGACCGTCATTGGGAAGGGGGAGGAGGCCGTTGGTGGAACTGGGAGGCGCAACATGGTGATGGTCCTTGGCAGCCTGAGGCTTGGAATGATGGTCATAAGAGCTGGGATGATGGTCGTGGACCCTGGCAAGAGCCTGGTCGTCAGGAGGGATCTACAGACCAGGGTGATGAGCCTGTCCCGAGTGGCGACGACAAGGCACAGCAGGACGTGGATCAGCAGGGCGAGCCGTCCACAAAGAAGGCTCGCAGTGCGTCTATGAACTCCGATGGTCAGCAGCCTGGCAGTACCATTTTTGTCAACGCCCTTCGCAAGCTCTTCCAGGCTAAGAATGCTGCTGCTGCCGCCAAGGCTCCTACCAAAACCTCCCCTCAAAGTAGTCCGACGGTCCGGGAGAAGGTCCAAGAGAAGCCCTTGGGTGGTGGTGCTCTGACTGCCCTGCTTGCCAAGCAGGCCGTGGGGCCCATCGCTAAGGCCGCCGCCACTCCCACCGTCCCTTCTCCAGGTAAAGGCGATCGTTGGTCTATCAGTACTGTTATTGACCCTTCTTTAGGTTCTCCCTCGAACGGTCAGAGTGATACCGAACTGCGTAAGAATGTCCTCACGAGGCTACTGTCAAGCGAGAATGCTGGAGATCTCCTACAGGACCCCAAAGGTATCCTCTTCCGCTGTGGGGGTGGTCATAATTCTTGTATACTCAGTTGTTGAGATGCTCCTCCAAGTGGCATCACAGTTGAATGAAAGTGGCCTGGCTGATCTACAGAAGTCGGTGGTGAAGATCATCACGAAACTCCAATCGGCGTCGTCCACTGCTCCTCCTCCTCCTGATGCTGCTGCTGCTACTTCGTCTTCTACTTTGTCGCCGGATCAGTTGGCTAAACGCGATGCTTGTGTTGAGCGTTTGAAGGCAATTCTTGAAGGGTTGCGGGGACTATTCCTCAAACGCCAAGAAGAGCGTATCAGTAAAGCGAGCGCGTCCGCGGCTGCTGCAGTTGTCGCAGCCACGGCCACAAAGCCTGGTGGCCTCACCTCGACTACATCAAGTCACAGTGCCTTGGCCAGTCTTCTGTCGGGGGTGTCCGCCCAAAATGAACCAATATACGATCATAAGGTGTGGACGGGTTATGTCCAACGATCGGGGGTCAACAAGGCAAAGGTGAACCTCTTCGCAACTCTGCCAGTCAATTCGCTGCTCACTACTCTGGTCGCACAACTCGGCAACGAGCTCAACTTGAAACTTCGCGTTCCTGACACTGAGGTACGCCAAGGAAGAGGAGGAGTCACTCGAGTCATTTCCGCTGAACTTTTTATCATCGTGTCAAGTGTGTGTAATATAGCCAGTAAAAGTATCACCCCTCGATGATGTTTAGTAGTGTAGTGAAGACGAGTATAGTTTTTAGAGAATTCTTGGACATTGAAGTACTTGATGATCCGCTATCACTTTCTCATGAGTAACTCTCGAGATCAATACGTTATGGGTAGGTATTGCATCAGCGGCAAAATCACGCGGAAAGCTCAGCTCTGTTGCTCATGAAGGCCGACTCCGCAGCTGGTAGGCAATAACAACACTACACGCAACTACACTCACACAAACGACTGACGATCATCACCCACATTAGTTTCACTCTTCTCTCAGATCAAGCCGAGCTGAACGCTCAAATCGCCTATTTCAATGGGAGAAATCGATCAGGCGTAGCCAAGCTCGAACGTGACGGCGATCACTATGCCGCCTTCATGATCCCACCTGGGCCACTCGCTGAGAAGTAGTCGAGAGACCACATTCCGCGCATAATAATGACGATGTGTGTTTAGGTTAATTGGTACTGATAACTACAAGAGGTGCAATCCAGACGATATGGCAACGGTATGTATGATAACTAAATCTGATACCAATGCCTCCGCAGTCGCCCCTCATTGAGGGCAGTAGCAATGAGTAGTTCTCAGTTGTAGCATTCCCACTATACATTTGCCATCTGATTGGAAAGAGTATTTGTGTTACTGGTCATAGTCCTCAATGAAAGCCGAATGCTGAGGGAGACGAAGGCCTTGGCGGCCCATTGGCGCTTCAGTTGTGATTAGCAGCAGCGCCTCGGCCTGGAGGTTGACGATGTGTACTTGTGGTCCTTTTGGGATGCCCTATGTCAAGTCCATAAGGTGATAGAACGACGCGACTACTGATGTCGGCAGCAACTCTAGTGAGAAAACTGAGAAACTAGCCCTCCCTCCCTCCCAAGGTTCTGCCCCCGGGGTTCTTAGATTGACAACTCTTTACGATAAGTATACTTGGAAACGGCCAAGCATGCAGACTGGTTGGGGCGGTATGATGATGGGCTTGTACCACAGTGATGACGTACTGACCCGTACTGGTCATGTCAACACCGTGGACGGCAACGAACTGTTGCTGCCTCTCCTCATTCTCTCGAGTATGACGCGTATACTGCAGTTGTTCATTCAGCACTTCGTATTGCTAGAGACCAATCTGTTCTGGACCCCGATCATGGGCACACATTACTCCGATTGCACGCGCTCGATCTACCTCACTCTTCACCCTCTCTCCCTCCAAGTGCGCACCTATGATGAGCACACACTCACAGATGGTCGCTCTCACAGATGTTATGAGATTCGTAAGCTTTTCTCTCGTAGAATCTTTATATCTCGCCCGCCTTGGTGGGTATCCTGAAACCGTTGGATTCCCCATTGCTCCACGGTTGCCATTCTTTGTGATGTTATATCGCTCTTGGATGTACTCTGGTCGACATCTATTAATACACACGATAATCGTGTACTTCATATATGCCCCCCGATGTTTCATCACATGGCAAGGATATGACAGTGGTTTATCAGTCCGAAACGTAGTAATGATACCAGGGCGAGCGCGACTACATTGTGGCCGCGCGACACGAGAGGGGCCACCGTTGTCCACGACATACTGCTGACTCACGTGATGATGCTCTCCGACTGGAAGTTGATTCGCGGCAAGAACGACCACTCCTTCGCGCCACTAAGACGGTCCTCTCGCTCAATGTGTACGCTTGCCCGTAATAACTCAAACGGACACTTTTTGAGTGTTGTCACACAAGTTTGGAGCCAAGGAAACACGCAAACAGTTCAACGATTGTCTATACACTTTCTCTTGCCGGAGTATATGTTATTCTAATGTCCACCGTAGTTCTCTACGCTTTGTCGCTGCAGATGTCACGAAACTGTCGAACTGTTGATTCCCGGTTAACTTCCAATCAGCGACCGCACAGCATTTGTGTTGATAATATTCATCCTGGTATGTCTACGATTCTCGGTATGCTGCCGAGACCTATGCGTACTACTAACACAACTCATCTCGTGAGTATAGACAATTGACCTGATCAGTTTCGAGTACCAGTTAACGATGAAGCTGATCATTATTGGGCTGGTTTGTGCTCCTATTGAAGATAGATAGTTCCAACTATCTAGAAGTGAACATCCGCAAAGACCACTCAGTTGGTTACTAAGAAATTCGAAATTAACTGCGAACAATTAGCTTCTCATCAGAACCATTACAAACCGTGGGCGGCAAAGCTAGAGGACGTCTGTTCGATGGTTGACCCACTCTGTTTCAGCGGTATAGCCCTCAAACAGAAATCACCAGCGAGCTATAACAGACCATCCAATCTAAAGAAGAATGGTTATAACAATGACAGGAAGTTATTGAGCCAAGAGCAATTACCTCCATGAACTGTCACAGATACGTCGCCCAATTCCCGAGTGATATTTTACTCAACATGATCAATGAGCTTCCGAAACTCAATCCTTCGTCGTTATCATCATTCGTAGTATTTAGTAAAAGTAGTGATGGAGATAGTAACAAAGGCATGGGTGTCTAATGGTCCCTCACAATGATCATTCAGCAGCAACCCCACAACCGGTGGCGATGAATCGACGGAAACGAGATATACTTCTTGGAATAGCACCAACTGCACAGCTAGTAGCCAACTTCACGACAGTTAATTCTTCTTCTCCTCCTCGGCACTCTCCGTCTTCTGTTCCTCTTGCTGCTGTTCGTTAGAGCCCTGCTGATACGCCTGGGAAGAGACCTAACGAGAAATCACTCATTCAAGCTGTACATAAAAATAACCACAATGTACCTTCCAGGAGGCATCCTGCAGCTCCTTAGTCTTGTTCTTGATCTCATCAACATCATCCGTAGTCAGAGTGGACCTCACAGCCGCGATCTTTTGCTTCAAGTCCTCGGCATCAGCATCGCTCATCTTGTCCTTCAACTCACTGAGTTGCCTCTCCACAGAGTAGACGAGAGTCTCGGCGTCATTTTTAGCACCAACGGCCTGCTTGCGCTTCTCATCTTGCTCCTTCATGCTCTCAGCCTCGTTAACCTGATAACACCCATCCGAAACAAACACCTACGTCAACACACAGCCTACCATCTTGTCGATATCGGCATCAGAGAGACCACCAGAGGACTGAATGGTGATATTCTGTTTCTTGCCGGTGGACTTGTCCATAGCGGACACATTGACAATACCATTGGCATCAATATCGAAAGTAACTTCGATTTGGGGCACCTAACGAGACGTCCATCGAAAACTCAAACTTATAGAGAACCACCTACACCACGAGGAGCAGGGGGAATTCCAACCAAATCGAACTGACCAAGGAGCTTGTTGTCAGCAGCCATTTCTCGCTCGCCCTGGAAAACCTTGATACCGACCTAACAGGAGGAAAAAGGGTGGTCTTTTATCCAAGGTTAACAATAGCGATGGACTCACCTGAGTCTGGTTATCAGTGGCGGTAGAGAAGACCTGAGACTTCTTGGCAGGGATAGTCGTGTTACGGTTGATCAAACGAGTGAACACACCTCCAAGGGTCTCAATACCTGCAACACTCCTAACTCCTAACTCATTACTACAACATCTACGAAGGCTTACCAAGAGACAGAGGGGTAACATCCAATAGAAGGATGTCCTTCACATCTCCCTTGAGAACACCAGCTTGAATGGCAGCACCCATGGCCACAGCCTCATCCGGATTAACACCCTTATGAGGCTCCTTACCGTACAGCTTCTTCACTACCTAAAACCAATCCCAATCTACAAGAGCACACTAGTAATAGTATGCTACCTCAGACACCGCAGGCATACGAGTCATACCACCAACAAGGATGACTTCACTGAGCTCATCCTTCTTAAGACCAGCATCTCTTAGACAAGCCTCACAAGGGGCCTTGGTCTTGTTGAGGAGATCAGCAGTGAGACCCTCCAACTGAGCACGGCTCAATGTCATCTGCAGATGCTTAGGGCCCGAGGCATCAGCTGTGATGAAGGGCAAGTTGATCTCAGTCTGAACCTTGCTGGAGAGCTCAATCTTGGCAGTCTCAGCGGCCTCCTTGAGCCTCTGGAGGGCCATACGGTCCTGTCCGAGATCGATGCCCTGCTGCTTCTTGAACTCAGCGATCAAGTGCTTAAGGATGACCCTATCGAAATCCTCGCCACCCAAAGAAGTATCACCGTTGGTGGCCTTCACCTCAAATACACCACCAGAGATCTCCAGAATGGAGATATCAAAGGTGCCTAATTACCACATAATTTCACCCCAATAGACGCAGTGGCTAAGCTTACCTCCACCGAGATCATACACTGCGATCGTCTGACCTTCGTTCTTATCACAACCATAAGCAAGGGCAGCAGCAGTGGGCTCGTTGATGATACGAAGAACCTGTCGATGGGAGACACTCCACACGAACGGATGAACGGGGAGAGAATTCTCACATCAAGACCAGCAATTTTGCCGGCATCCTTGGTGGCCTGCCTCTGTGCATCATTGAAATACGCAGGGACGGTGATAACAGCTTGCTTAACGTCGCGGCCGAGGAAAGAGTCCGCAGTCTCCTTCATCTTCATCAGAACGAAAGCACCAATTTGGGAAGGAGAGAACCTGAGCAATATCAACAAAGACCATTCCGGAAAACCTCTCCCATGGGTGGGTATATCCTACTTCTCGTTGTTAGCCTCGAGCCACGCATCGCCGCTCGTGCTAGCAACAATCTTATAGGGCATTTGCTGCTTATCCTTCTGAGTCTCAGGATCGTTGTACCTTCACCACAAGTTGATGCCAGAGTCCACGACACACACAGTAGACACTCACCGTCGGCCAATGAGACGCTTGGTGGCGAACAAGGTATTCTCGGGGTTGGTAACGGCCTGACGTTTAGCGGGCATGCCAACCAGCCTCTCGCCGTCCTTGGTGAAGGCAACTACTGATGGAGTAGTACGCATTCCTAAAACAAGCCGGATCAGCCCAAATCTATTATGTGTATATGCTCACCCTCAGAGTTCTCGATCACACGAGCTTGGGAACCTTCCATCACTGCTACACAGGAGTTGGTGGTTCCCAAATCGATACCAACGATATCTCCAGTAGTCTTAGCGAACCGAATCGCACTCGTTGAGAGGAGCCTCATAGCCGAGGGACGAGCCAAGGCGATGCTGGGCGTGAGCTTAGAGAGCATAGTAGTGTTACTGTAGGGGGCTAAAAAGTCGTACAAGGGGATGGAGAGGACTGATCTTTGCTCAATGCTATATTTGCAAGAAAATTGCAGGAAACACAGCCAATTTCGCTGCGCCCGGTTGATCGATAGTGGTGACCCGGTAGGTTGGGCTTCAAGGCAAAGCACTGTACGCATTGGGGAAATGTTCATGCTAAGACATCTCTGCTTACAAAGCGAAGAACTGTAAGCTGAGCGGACAAACTAAATGGCTGTATGTTATTGAGCAACAGACATTCTACAATAATATGATAGAGTGTTAAGGGCGGACAAACGAGCCAGCGAAGTTGAAGCACAATCAAGAGGACTATTCGAGAGTCTTACGAAGCGTCTTATCTCCATTGCATAGTTGTCTTCGACGAATTAGAACCATCTATTGCCGGAGGGACTTCGATGAATATCATCTCATCCGGCGGCCTCTTCCTCATGCATCTCACAGAAGGTATTGAGCACTGGAGTCTGAATGACCACAGCAATACCACTGTCTCTTCTCCTACTCGAATGACTCAAGTCTACGCTCGGGTGCATCCAGTGCTGGATCCTCGACCCCTTGCTAACCACTGTGGTAAACTCAACGCCAGTACCCCTTCCAGAAACCGGGCAAAAACAACCACACATGCACACGTGCCATATCAATGCTCCTCTTTTTCTTCTCTTATCCCAGGCCTTAAGCACCAGTCAGCGAGAGGTGACATCTTTATAGTGTAACCATTCTTCTCAGCCACTTTATGTCGGAGTCGGTGGATCCACCGAGACTCAGTCTAACAGTGAGTCCATCACCGAGAACATAACCAAGAGCATCACCTTATCATTCACATAATGGAAGCCGTCATTGGTCTCATAGACTACTTTCTCGATCGGATCGACCACAGGGAAAAACAACGAACCAACATCCGTGAACTCGCGATCTGAATTGTCGCGCGCCATAAAATTCAGAATACGAATTGCTCACTACTCGGTGCTGTTCCCGTATAGAATCCCCACTGAGCATTCTCACTGGCATCAGGGGGATACAACTGGGGCTTCCCGATGAGCTCAGAAATGTCATAAATACTAAAAATCCACCATCACTTAGCGGAGCGAAGCACCACAATCACCACCTACTCTCGCCAACCACCTTCTATCCTTTCTCTCTTTGCTGCTTCTCGACTCGCCTGAGCACTACCGCGCACAATATGGTTGACGAAATTGATAAAAGACAGACTCATAGAGTGAGCATTGTCAGTCTCATCCAGCAGCTCAGTAGCCAAAGGTGATGCTAATGTTGCCAGTCTATAGACCAACCTCAGGGCAGGACCAAACGAGTTCAGATATACTACCGAATCCGATATGCATCAACAGCAGTGAGCTCATCCTCCCTGTCACCAGCACAAGCAGCTGATGCCTCTAGGAGTCCCTTGTACTCTAGAGGTGAGGAACGGGTCAGAAGGTAGACCAGCAACAGAGAGGCGAGCGTAGGGTGACGGGGCGGAGTGGATCTGTGGGTTATAACACTGTGCTATGAGAATTACACTCACCCTAGTGTGCTGAAAATCCTCGTGATACTTCCCTCCCTATCAGATTCAATAGCCGCGCCCAAGCAATGACCCAAAGACATGTGCCGCTCACGCTCCGTGGAATGGGATGATATCACCTACTCAAGGGCTCCGCATCTACTAGGTAATCCGAACCGAAGGGCAGACAAACTCCCAAGTTGAAATATATGTTTGCTTTCCTCGATAATTATGGAAAATTACTCAGAAATTCGGGTATATGTGCACAGAAACCGATGAGCATTTCCTAAAATTTCCTCAAAATTCATTTATTGTTACTAACACACGTGATTGACTATATATTTTCCCATACGGACAAACTCAGGCGCCATTTTGAAGTTGAATTAATTCCATCTCGACAAGTCACGATGATACGTCCATTGGAAAGAGCTCTCCGCGAGCTCGAAAACGGTACCCGAGTTTTTCCGATATTCACCTAGGGTGAGAAATTTCGAGGGCTGGGCCCTTGGTTTCGATCACCCTGTACATCCCAGTAGCCCTTACCTTTTCCACCAGAGCAGTGAGGTCGCCGTCGGGTATCCTGAAGCCCCGACCGGCAGCTAAATGCGCTGATAGAGGCGTCATGTCCGACCCTACAGATGCCTCTCGGAAGTACTGTGCCCATTTAGACAGTACCTTCCCAGTTGCCCTGGGGGGTCGACCCGAGATCATAGAATGTGGATACACTTCCGAGAATGGCTCGTCCGTCTCGGTCGGTGTTGATAGTTACTGGAGAGCGCTCCACCGTGACGGCATCTGAGCGAGTTGAGCAGTAACGACTTTACCAGCGATCCTGAAAGGTCATAAGAAGGGGTCCGGCTACCTAGGCGCTCGGGGTGTTCCGTTGCTGCTGTTGCTGGTTCAGCACAGAAGTACCGCCACAACCGGGCGGCACTCCCTCGTGCTACTACTCCCGATGTGAGGCTGACGTGATTGGGTGCGCACAGCATGAAGATGCATTTGCTAAGCAATGCATAGTCAAAAGAATACAATCACGCGCCACAAAATTACGCGCGCGCCTTTAAGTCCAATTTCCAGGTGTTACGAGATGTGTGGCATGCATGCTGTAGTGAGTCTCGCCCGCCAGGGTATTGATAACGTCGCTCGCCTGTAACGGCTGACCATTTCATAAATGTGGCTCGCTGACTGGAGCTAATTACTCTTGAATGATAGATTTCATTTGCACTAACTCCTGGTGCATTGTGTTTCCCATATGGTCAACGGTAACTCTCCCACATCTCAACATGGCTCCACGGCCGAGAACGGCACTCCGTGGGATTGGGTTACCAACTTGGAGAAGCAAGTCATGGACGACAACAATGTAGGCCCATCGAGACCGAGCACTACTGTCCTAGCCAACCTAACTCCGTTGGCAACGGTCGAGGCCATCCTCGGTATCGGCGGCTATAATCGATGGTTGGACGCTATGTCGGTATTTCGCACCTCCAATGGGAAGGAGTTGGGCACAGACGTCAACGGCTTCCTTATGGATCACGCCTTGAGTGTCATGAAGGATTCGGAGGCAGAGTCTCGGCTGTCCTGTTCACGCACCCAGCTGTCCGACTACGAGTTCAAGGAGGGGTTGATGCACTCAGTACGAGCCACTGGTTTAGGATTGGTTGGCCAACTGCTGTTGCTGTCCACGGTACTATCGCCGGCACTCGCCCAGACTGTGAAGGATACCATGATTGACTTGGCTGAGGCTGACGAGGCAGCCTACCTGTGGTTGGAAAAGGAGGAGAACATCCAGGTGGACCGGTCTAACTGTGTGAGGTGGCTCAGCTTTGTCAAGAAGGCCTGTGATGCAGTGCAATTGGAATGGACCCGCGTGGTCCACGAGGATATTACTGTCAGTGATGCTCTCCAGCACTACAGTGGTTTACGTTGGACCAAGCTCTGTACTCTTGACCAACTCATCCTCAAGGAGAGAGAGGCTTTTCACTACCTGTCCCGGGCAGGAGACGAGGGAGTGAAGTTGGGGGATCAAGCTCGTCTTGACGTCTTGAACCGATGTCTACCAGAGTCTAACAGGTGGGGTTATGTTCTCACCCCCGAGCTCAACAAGATCCTCAGGTCTGCAAGGTCGGTACCCGAGTGGGTATCGGTGGCTAAGCAGATTCGTTCTGATTCGCGTCGTTCGGGACTACTACCCGACCGCGAGTACCAGCCGACCAAGTCCGAGTCGTCTACCTACGCCTCCTACAAGGTGGAGACACAGAGCCGCCGGCGTGGGAAAAAGGCGGCTAAAGATGAGGACAAGGTTCAGGAGGCGGTCAAGCGAAGACTGAACAAGGCTCGAGGAAATAAGAAGAACAAGCAGCACGTGCGCAATAGTCGTCCACTACGAGGCTCGAGAGGGGCGGTCTCCGGCTCTGAGGATGACACTGAGGCCACCATTGTCTGCTACCACTGTCACGGTATTGGTCATAGACGCCCCCAGTGTCCGCACCGTGAGACTGATAAGGCCGAGGCTCGCCGATTGGTCAAGTCCGACACTAAGGTCCCGACTAGCTCTGATAAGTCGGGGGGGACCAAGGGCCCCACTATACGGACGCTGCGTTCTCGGAGAGCGGCAGCTGCTAGAGCACCCGTTGACTATAAGAAGGTGCCCGAGCATCGTGTTCACGCCACCCAGACCATCGACAATGGTAACGGTGTTGGGTCGGGGGAGCTTGATGGCTCCTCCAACGAACACGGATCTGACCACGACCCCCACGACGAGCCCACCGGTGGGGAACTAGCCGAGAGTTTGGCAAGT